GGTAAAATGGGTTTTAATTAATATATATATATATATATATATATATATAGTTATTTATTTATTACATTTTTTGCCAAACAAATTTTCTATTTTTTGTTACTGGAAATGAAAAGAAATTAAATCATAAAATTATGTTTTTTGTTTCAATGGTAAATAAAAAAAACAAAATGAAGATAAAACAAATCCAATTATTGCCCAACTCATATGCTTATAGTGCAATTTAAATTTATACTTCTTTGGGAATGAATGAATAAATTATAGCTCCATATAATTTAGGACGAACGAATAATGATTGTTGGCAAGATAAAAAAGGGTCCTTAAAGATGAATACTAAAGTAAGGGTGTCAAAAATTGATCCGACATGTCAACTCGACTCAAAAAATACAAGTTTATGTGGACCCAAATAATATTTGGGTAGGGTTCGGTTTAGAAATCCTAACAAATTTAATTTTCTGGTCGGATTCGGGTCAACTTGCCAACCCAATATTGACCCGCTAACACAAAATAGACACGCCAAATCAAAATCGACCGATATTGACCCAATTTTAACTCAAAATCAACTCAAATAGTTATTATCTTATGTTAAATGGGTTTTAAAAGTCGAGCTCGGGTCGGCCGATTGAAGGCGGGTTAAGTTCAAGTTGAGTTTAGGGTTAAGTGTAATAGTTTAAAATTTTGCCTTTACTAAATCCTACTAACCCTAAACGTTAAACGTTTTCAAAATTTTCGCCAATTCCTTTTTTTTCTTTTCGGCGGATTAAAGGTGGGTCAAGTTCGAGTTAGTTTTAGGGTTAGGATTAGTAGTTTAAAATTTATCTTTACTTGTGCTAACCCTTTCTAATTTTTTTTTTCAATTTTTTTCTTTTTTTTGACTTTCTAACACTTCTAGGGTTGGGTTTGAGCCAAGTAATTTTGGGTCTGGTCAACTTTGGATCAAACCCAAACCTGACCCTCAAACCCAATTTAACACCCTAAAGCATGATAATGAAACAGAACATGATTAGAGAAATTAAGTTTTTCTTTTTATATTTAGTGTTATTCGGATTTAGTAAATCCATAAATCGTAAATCCGTTAAATCCATCCTATCGTTGGGTTTAATAAATTTGGATTTAAGTCGAATTGATGGTAAAATTTTGGATTCTAAATCCAAAAATTTACAAAACCACGAAACTGTTGGCCTGGATTTAATAAATCTAATGATAAATCCTATTAAAAGGCCCTAGATTGGTTTATTGAAGAATATGAGTTTCAACTGTGAACAAAAACCAAAAAAAAACAATAAAAACACTTAATTCATTTCAAAAAATAACTTCTAAATCACAAATAGAGTTGCTTTTATTGGATTAAAGAAGTTTTTTCTTATTCCAACAAAATTATATGTTTCTAAAAATTTTGACTAAACAACGAAAGGTGCTTCTTATAGATACATAGTTTAAAGTAGAAAAAAAAACTAACTAATATAAGATAAGGTGATCAAAGATGAAAGGAGAAAATCTTATAAAAAAGGTTCATAAGAAACCAAATTAAGGATTTAAACTTGAAGCAAACTATGTGCATAAAATGACTTAAAGAGGAATTTCATAAAAAATTAAGGCCTTTTTTTTAAAGATCTAATGCCATTTAGAATAAGCCAAGTATTTTAGAATAAGCCAAGTATTTTAGGCCTTCTTATCTACTCAAACATTCCCAAGTTCATTTAGACAATTGAAGTTCTTTATCATCCTTATCAGACAAAATAATGATACTCACCCATCCACAAGGCTTAGTATTCAGAACTAAATCAATAGGGTTAACAGATGATTCATCAACTACAGATCTCCATCCCCTTCCCTCTTCTCTTGCTGAGATTGTGCTGATAGAAGAAGTGAAAAGAACTTTCTTCACAGACTTGGATCTTAAACAAGCTTGTAGGACATTGACTGTCCCCTTCACTGCTGTCTCCATCATCGCATCTGGCACCTCCTCATCCAAAAGGGTTCAATCATTCCCTTCTTAATATACTAATCCTGCAAACATTTAGAAAGCAATAGCAAGTAAAAAAGAGTACCAATGGCTTCTTCATGCTCTACGCTGAGCTCCATAGATGCAGCAACGTGGAACACACCAACGCAGCCCTTCACGGCCTCATCGAAACTCCCTTCCTCGCTGAGGTCCGATTTGAAGATCTTTAGCCGGTTAGAAGCGTTCGGGAGTGATAGAAGATAGGACGCCTTGCCTTGTATCATTCTATTTAGATTAATCCGCCATGCATATATGAGGTTTTAGAAAGGGAAAGGAAAGGAAATAGACATACCGGTGTCTCTAGCTGTTGCATGAACGGTGAAGCCTCGCCGGAGGAGAGAACAAACGAGCCAGGAGCCGATGTAGCCGGTAGAGCCAGTCACGCAGAAAGTAGCGTTCACCGGAGTTCCATTGCCGGCGTTCATCCTCGATTTTGGCCCTGTTTTCTAAATAGGGGAAGAGAGAGACTAAGGTTTTGATTGAATTGTATTAAAAAAAGAAGGATAATTACATAAATAACACTTAAAACTGGTGTATTTACACATATCCCGATTAAATCATTGTAAATTTGATAAAAAAAAAAAATATGAGTTGGGATTTTATTATGACATTTGATATTTGAGTGAGAATTTAAAAAAATAGATGAAAGAGGATACTTAATTTATAAATAATAATATTTTAGGTGTCTTATATGTAACTAAAAACTAAGAGGCTTGGGTATAGCGATGTTGGGCGGCAGTTATGACAATTGCAAAATGGAGCGGTGCTACTTAATTCGAAGTTATTTGAGCCTAATTTAATGTGGTATTGACCTCACTTTTATGAGAACTTCTTTCCTCTCTATAAAAATCTAAGATTTAGCCTTAGGGTTTCCTAGTGACATTCTTAGATGACTAGAGATGAAACTCAACCATATAGAACTTTGAACCAGTCCTACGCTCACTTAGGGATTCTTGAAGTTAGGCCCAAATATCAACCCTTGGTTTAGAAGATTGAGAGTCTAGCCTAGTGGAAGCCCAAGTTGATTTCCTATAGGATGTGAATGCTCTAGGTTACCCATGGAGCTTAGAGCCCTAGGAATTCCCCTAATGATCTATTGACTACCCCTGAGATTCTCATTGACCTAGGAAAAGCCCATCAGACACGAGGCTAGGCCTAGACCAATGAGGATTTTTTTTAATATCTTACTAAATTACTCTAAAAGCCCTGGAAATCCCATGACATTATAATTAAAACCCAAGGGGGAGGGGTGAGGCACCAAAGTCAAACTTTGGTCTCACCTAAAGCTTTCCCAACCCCAATCAACCCTAGAATCAACATAAACCTTAAACACATCAACTTAAACCCTAAAATTTGGAATCACCAAGATTCATCAAGCCAATTGGTGAACAACTAAACTCCTCAATACAAAATCAAAATCAATTAAAAGTATTAAGGCCAATGACAATTAAACATCAAAACTAAATTATGAAGGTTCACTAAGCTTAATCCTTTTTTTGCCAACCCTAATCATCTGAGGCTAAGCTTAACTACAAAAGCCCAACTTAACCTTAAGCCCAAGCAATCATGGGAGAGCCCATGACCCATCCCTCATGACCCATTCCCCATGGATCAACCTTGACTCACAAAACCCAAATAACCTATCAATGACACTACAACCTAAATATAAATTAATTAAAAGAAAACTAAACATAAAACAAGCACAAAAATACCAACCATGTAAGGGGACTAACACTTTGCACCTAAGTCCAACTCACCCATTTTCAAATCTTGAGGAACTAAACGCAGGTCAAGGGTGAGTCAAACCAGACCAATTCTGGTCCTAACCACCCCTCCAAAAGTTCCCCCAATCACTCCAAGCTCCTCTTCTTGCCACATGCACCTCCATTGGAGCATTCTCAAGGCATCCAAGAAGGTGAAAGCATGTTACCTCTGCTCAAAAGCCTCTGTACATACTCTGCTCATTCTCTGAGGAATCATTAGAGTCTTCAAAGCAGGCCAGAGCTCCCCCCCCCCCCCCCCCCCCCCCCCCCCCCCACGGCCTCCCATGGCTATAAATGAAGCTAGTCCGAGAGCCTTAGAGACATCTCAAGCTCATCAAACGCTCACTTAAACTCCCTGTCGTCAACACCAAACTTGCTCCCACAAACCCTAGAGACCACATCCCACCATTTTCAAGCCATCTCTACCACCACACAACCTATTTTCCCCTCTGAAATCCAGGACTTCTTACGACCTTGACATCAACCTCTTCAAAAGTCCATTTGAAGCCTCCCATAAGCTTCACAAGGTCTTAAAACCCCTCTCTCAATCAAAATCCACTCTTTTCACACCCTCTAACCTACCTCAACTCCAACCGGAACCACCTTTTGGTTTAGCGCATACTTAGGCCCATCCTAAGAGCAAATTAAAGTAAGGGGGAGCTTCGTGGCATCAAGGAAATTGTCTCTGTCAAGCCCATCAAGGTCTCACCTCTTGGGATAAGGTAATGGCTTGAATTCACCATTTTTTTCTTTGGGTTTGGTCTTTTGTGAAGCAAAACTACAACGCATGCCCACTTAACCATATATATAGGTTTGTCTTACATAGAAGAAGCTATAGAATCAAATCCATGCGAGTGTTAGGTGAGATCTTACGGTTTGAGTGTGGTTGACTCTTGATTCTCTGTCTCGGGAGGATGATGAACAGATGTCGTTCGTTTTTGTGTATTCGAAACGGATCGTGGACATGGAGCCGAGACAGCAAAAAGTGTGGAGTGGAGCACCAGATTGTGGGCCACCTTAGCGCCCGCTTGTGAAGCACAACCAACTGCAGAGCACCATTCAGACCTTTGACACGTACGAGGATTGACGTGGTGCTAGCGCAGATAAGTAGGAAATTCAGGTTTTTTGAATTATTTAAATCCAAAAAATTCCTATAAGCTTTAAAAATTCATAACTTTGGAAATAAAAATCATAAAAATAAAATAAAAAATACCTCTGAACTCATGAAAAAAGAGGAGAAAATAATAATAAAAATAATAATAATAAACCTATATTTAATTTTTAATTAATTAAATATCCCAGAGGGTATTTTAATTATAAAAAATTAAATATAAAACATAAAAATATGAAATTTGAAGGGAATTTTCCCTTTGTCATCAGGGATATTCTGTTATTTTTCAAAGTCAGGAGATTTCCCTAGCACCAAAATATTTAATTTTCCATCAAAATTATAATTATTTTGAAAATAAATATAAAAAATAAAATAAAAATAAGAAAAATATAAAACCAAGATGGAAATTAAAAAGAAAAATTAGGGCATCAACCTAAACACTAAAATGAGAACTATTCACCTCTGAAAATTAAAAATAAAATTAGAGCATTAAGGATAAATCTATAAAATTGTAGTTTTTGCTTTTCAGCCCAAATCATCTCCTAAGCTTAAACTAAACGTAAAAATTAACTCATAAAATCTTAGAATTACATTCCAATGAAAACACTAACTTAAATAGTGACTACCCTTTTAGTTATAAGATTACCTCGCTTAACTTGAACCTTAAACTGAATTTGGTTCTAATCCAATTTAGACCTAACTTAATTTAATTTAGGTCTAACCTAACTGAGATCTAACTCAACCTAAGTGGCTTCAAACTTAAACTTAGATCTAGCCCCAATCTATACCTAGTTCAAACTAAAACTCAACCCTAAATTCAACTTAGTTCTAGCCTAACCTAGACCTAACTCAGTCTACACTCAATTCGAACTCAATGTAGACCTTAACTCAACTCTAAATTCAACCTAGGTCTAACCCAACCTATTCCTAACCCAACTTAACTCGAACTCTAAACATAACTTGGGTCTTACCCAACTTAGACCTAACTCAACTAAACTCTACCCGAATTGGACTTGATTCAACCAAATTCTAAACTTCAGCTAATCTAGGTCGAACCTAACTTAGACCTTATTCAACTTAACATTCAATATAGGTCCAATCTAACCTTTGACCTAACTCAACTTAACTCAAATTTTAAACTTATCTTAGATCTAACATAATTTAGACTTAACTAAGTTAAGACTTAATTGGGCCTAACTTAGCCAAACCCTAAATTCAACTTAGGTATAACCCAAATTAGGCTTAAACCAACCTAATCCAAATTCTAAACCATGAACTTAACTCAAGTCTAATCCAACCTAGACTTGACTCAACCAAATTTCAACTTAAACCAAACCTGGATCAACCCGGCCTAACTCGGGTTAACCCAAATCAACCTAAATCAAACTTGGGTCAATTCGACCTAACTCGAGTTAACCCAAACTAACTTAAACCAAACCTGGGTCAACCAGACCTAATTAAGTTTAACCCAAACCAACTTAAACCAAGCCCAAGTCAACCTAACTTAACTCGGGTTAACCCAAACCAACTTAAACCAAACCCAGGTCAACCTGACCTAACTCGTGTTAACCCAAATATCTTAAATAAAACCTGGGACAACTTGATCTAACTCGAGTTAACCCAAATTAACCTTAACCAAATCTGGCTAAGCCTGACCTAACTCTGGTTAACCCAAATCAACCTTAACCAAACCTAAGTCAACCCAACCTAACTCCACTCGAACTCATAAGAATGCCAACACTACTGTCATATCATAATAGAAATTAATACAATGTGATTGAATTTATTAACGATATTTCATTTAACATGATCATCAATTATATTAAGAAATAGCGGGCATGCCCATCTATTTCTCGAAATGTTATGAAGAGACAGATGATGAATGTCAAAATTTAACAGATGGTTACATACCATGGAAAAATTATAACAAATTTGTTATCTATATAAAAATCATAAAGAGGTTTCTTGATGGACTTCTAATTGTGAGAATCTTTTTCTGACAAAGGAAATATCAATGACATTTAGTCCATAAAAAACCATTGCAAAATGCAATTAGTGACGAAAATTTATATTTAACTGATAGAATTGTCCACCAAAATTCTCATAATATTCTGTAGTGAGTGGGTCTAATGTGCACATTAGCCCGATTGGGCCTTCAATTTCAATGTATGTTTTAGTTGTTTAAATTGAGTTCAAATTGTGTTTTTCTTTTATTTTATTGGTTTAGACTTTATTTTATTTGCTTAAGGTGAGTTTGACCAGATACTCATTTAGTGGGTCGTGTGTTGGTCAACTACACTGAGTGGCCCAATTTGATCCAATTAGCAAAACTTTTGGGTTTGATGACCAAGTAAAGTTCTATGATACATTTAATTAAATTCAATAGTTCAAATTGGTTGGCTTGGTGTAAGGTTCAAAAAAATTCAAATGGACAGTCTATTAAGTCAATATAAGTCAACTGTAGGCTTTGGAGATTTTGGATTCAACGTATGGTTGTAATGACCTATAACTCAATTAATTTTATTTAAAACCAAATACTTTAGTGGTTGAGATAAGTTAGTTTTGTGATTCTGATATATCCACAAAGGACTAA